CATATATAGTATATAATATATACTATATAATATATAGTATGATAGTTCATATATTTATATATGCCATGATATATTTATATATGCCATATATAGTATATAATATATACTATATAATATATAGTATGATAGTTCATATATTTATATATGCCATGACCACGACATTTATATTTATATATATTCATATATATATATATTACTAACATTGTCCATCCCTGCCTGTGTAAGATTTCTGTTCTGTAGTTGTCTCTTTTGAATGTAGGTCAGCAGAGATGGAAGCTGAGTTTAGCATACCCAGGGCTGTGGGGGTTGAGGAAACAAAGGGAACAGGTTTTCCTGAGGTATGGAGGTCCCTGGCCCCAGACTTCGACCCCACCTGTACCCTCACAGTGCTCTGGAGGTTTCTTCCACATCCTATATGTGAAGTAGGGCATTTTGTTTCACTGGTGTCTGCCTCCCTCAGGCCCATGACCTTAGTAGATGGGCAGAGACTGTAAATCTTCTCACTGTTGTGTCCCCATATTTAATGCACTGTTTAATAACTTATTGAAGAATCCATATGTATCCGTGTAATAAATGATTAGACGCTGGAAGAGTGAATACGTGAAACGTAAAAAGCTATAATCCTCACTTAATTTCTCTCTCTGTCCATCCTCTCCAGCAAATGTTGCCGCTGTGCTTGGGCATGATACAAGTCAGGGAGAAACTGGTGATTAGTCCCAAGAGTTCTGTGTTTGTCATACTTTAAAAAGCTACAAATGACAGGTCACACAGAAGTCTGTCATAGGTGAGGTGTAAGGGAAGCCATGCTGTACTGAGTAAAGTGCAGGACGTTCTGCCTTGGCCTTCTGGGCCAGCTTCTCCGGCCTCAGTATGAAAGCTCTGAACCCAGAGGTGCGATGGAAGTTGCCCCCGGGGGAGATCGCTGAGCCAAGGTGGCTGTTTGATCTATGACAGTCATTCATATGGGCCAGGGTGGAGATTTCTTTTTCTTTTTTGTTTCATGAGACACAGTCTTATTCTTTAGCCAAGGCTGGCCAAAACTCACTACATAGCCCAGGCTAGCCTCAAAGTGGGACAGTTCTGCTTCAGCCTTCTGAGTACTGAGATTACAAGGATGTGTGCTTCCAGGCCCAGTATTTCAGGTCTAGAGATTGATTTTCCGATAGAAGTCTCGGGCCTGGGGGGATGGCTTAGTGGTAAGAGTTTGAATCTCCAGCAACCACAGCAAAAGCTGACATGACTTCGCATTTCTGTCACACCAGCACTAGGGGGAAGAGACAGGAGGATTCTAGGATTTTGCTGACCAACCATCTTCCTGTTCAGTGAGAAACCTTGTCTCAAGGCAATAAGGCAGAGAATAATAAAGGAAGCCATCTGGCATTCCTCTCTGGCCTCTGCATGCCTGTGAACAGCTGTATGTATACACACACACACACACACACACACACACAGACACACACACCCCACCACCACCACCACCACCACCACCACCACCACCTCTCACATATAAAAATAGATAAAATAAAATGAGATACTAACTGTTGAGTAGGCGTGTATGAATGAGAGCAAGACTATTTGAAACACCCAGAGAAACCTCCAGACCCCTTGACAACTAGCCCACTGTGTATGGTGTGGCAGAGAGGGCCCGGGGTCAGGCTGCCCTGTGTGAAGCACAAGTGTCCCAGGGAGGCCTGTAGACCCCAGCCCCTGGCCCTCAGCTCACGCATCTCTGCCTGCAGGAGCCCTTGTGATCCCTTTGAGGAGGTTAGGTCCTGGCAGACCAAGCGAGGTCACAGCAGAGGCCGAGGCCGCCCATAGCATCTCTGTCTTCTTGTCCTCCAGCCACTCGTGTGCAGTCCCGCACCAGGGATGTGCCGAGCCAGCCGCACTGTGTCCTTCGGTTGCTGGATTTGGAGGTAGGGCACAGGCTGTTCATGTTAGGGACGTGCTTCACTGACACCGGGACCTTTACCTGGAAATTCTGAAGAACCATTACTATCTCTGGGATTTTATATAAAACCACCTTCACCTAATTTCCCAGAAGCATCTTCCCATTTCAGTTATTTTTATTTTTCACCACAGCGAAGTCTCTCTAAAGTAATTATTATCTTCACAACTTAACGGTGTCGTCAGACCTGGACGAATCCCCGATTACTCAATGTAAACATCAGTTATTAGTCATGACAGAATGAACTGGAGCCTCAAATAGTATGCAAAGGCAAAGAGCATTTATTCTGCAGAAATTACCAGCATATAGGGGTCAACCATTCATCAAAATGGTGGCCACTTGAGGGGCTCATAGGCCCCTGTTATGCGGGTCTAGAGGAATTTTCCAGAAGGGTTAGGTAGCCTCTATTATTATTGGTAGGTACAAAACAGTGACATTAGTACAACTTTGATTGGCTTCTGTGTTGGTTCTGTTATATTTGGTGAGACCTTAAAGAATTTTGGAAACCAGCTCAGTTCTGGTCTTGTTGTCTCCTCCAGCTAGGCGTCCCAGGAGCTGACTCAGTTCCCGACTAGCCTCCTTAGGTCGGGGCCGCCACTGACTAAAGGCCCATTGTTAGTGAACCCTTCTGAGGAGCCCAGGATGATTCCGGAGAATGGAAAATTTTTATTCCCAAGGTTTTTGGACCACTCCCTGTGTAAGACTGAGGTTCGGGGAAATGGTGTTAGCTTCACCTCAGGACTGTCTGTTCACTGCGAGCTGTGTGATGCAAGTGAGAAACTCCCAGAGGTGTAGTGTGGGCAACCTAGGACCCGGAGCACCTCAGTGAGAGAAAAGGCAAGATAGTGAAGTCAATGTATGTTTTCTTCAACTCACTTCATTGTCATCTTAATTTGGACCAAAACAAAGTAAATATTTTTTTTTTGGTCTTATAAAAACTGAATAAATAAACACATTATTCCTGATTTTAATGATCTGATAAGGCTGTTGAACTCAGTGTTGTCCACTGGCCATGGATCTTGGCAGGAGAGGACTAGCAGGGGAAGGACTTGGCTTGTACTGAGGGCTCCTCACAGGCCCTTCATCAAACTGTGACTGCTTTGACTTGGCAAGCCTTGCACTCAAGACCATGTCTGGACACAGCTCAGCAGGGCCAGGTGCTCCCAGCCCCCAGCTCCTGGGGTGGGACTGACACAGGGCCCAGATGCCTGAAGCCAACCTGTAGGACACTGCTTGGACAACTGGGTGTCTGTTCACCTTATTTGGGCTGAGAGGTTTAAGAGAAATCAAAGCTCTAATTTTTGTTGTTTGGGTTTAGTCTCAGCTGGTCATGTGTTTAAAAGACTAGACATCCAAAAACCAAAGAAAATACTTACTGCAGGCAAAGCTGGAACATACTGATATCATTTATTCTGAAGAGTTTCCTCGCGTGCTTTTTTTTTCTTTTTATGGTTGGAGTATAGCCTGGGTCTGTCCCAGCCGACTCTATGCTTTTCGTTTTAACTTCCTGCTGCAGTCTGCAATCACTAGTGGTCAATGTTAAAGAGACATCATCTCTTGTGTTATTTACTTTGTCTTTGCTATGACAAAATACCTCACAGGAACAGCTTCCAGTGTGAAAAGCTTATTTGGGATCATGGTTTTAGGTACTTTAGTCCATCGTGATGGAGGAGCTCCGGTCCCTGGAATGTGGGTTTGCTTACTGACATGATGTAGATCAGAAACGAAGAGCCTGAGACTGCAGCCAGATGTGCTCATCACAGTTCCGCCCCTTACAGCTGCTTCAACCAGCCAGGCCCCAGCTCCTTAAGGCTCTGCAGACTTCAAAACGATGCCACAAGCTGGTGACCAAGAGCCCAGAACATGAGCCTGACAGGGACATCCCTGATTCAAACCATAACACCCCCTAGTAAAATGTTCGGTCCCCAAATGTGTCTTGGATCTATAGAGGCCAAGAAGATGATGGAAGGAGGGAATTGGCTATTTCAAGTTGTCTTTTGATCTCCACGTACATGTGGTTCTCAGCTTCCTCCCACTCAATAAGTGAGTATAATACAATATTAAGTTAAACCTGTATTTTTTTTTAAACAGAAGGATTTATCTCTTGCTTACAAAGGGAAAGAATGCAAAAGGAGATTAGATTAGCTTGGACAGACCTCTTTTTGCCTCACAGTGTACAAGATGGTGGTTCTCTCCGAGTGGAGACCTCTGTCTTCCTTTCTGAGTCCTACCCAGTCTGGTGCCTGGCACACAGAATAAGTAAGTGTGTGTTTGCTGGAAGTGTGGAGCGTGAGTGCAAAGCTGGTAGCTATGTCGAAGGACTGGGATAGTCTCTCCACCCTTCCCCAAATGCTGTGCATTCAGTTAATGATATTTTTTCCTTCCCAATGATAGGCAAAAGAGAAGCCTCTAAAAACCAACCTGGAACTCATCACCAGATACTTCCTTGATCATTTTGGAAATACAGACAACAGTGAAAGCCAAGATGCCCCAATCCCTGCAATCCCTGTTCCAAAGAAAAACAACAAATTGCCTTTGAGATACCCAGAGACCACACTGGTGAATATATACGACCTTTCAGATGAAGACACAGGAAGACGAGCATCCTGGTCAGAAGCAGGCAAAGCCAGGTACCCACCTCCTCCTCCTCCCCTCCACCCTGCCTACCAGCTCAGCCAGACAGACAAGGCTCCCTGTAAAAACAGGGCCCTGTTTTCCCTCACTTCTTGATCCTCTTTCTTCTCTCTCTCTCTCTTTCTCTCTCTCTCCCTCTCTCTCCCTCCCTCTCTCTCTTGCTCTCTCCCTCTCTAGCTCCCTCTGTCTTTCTCTCCTTCTCTCTCTGTCTGCATCTCTCCTTCCAGTAACCGAGTTGAGAACTCAGGTTGGCATCAGCATGCATCCCCAGACAGTCTTGCGCTTCCCTCTCTGTTCTTGGTCTATAACGAGAATGCCCTTTCTCAACAGCAGACAGTCTGCTGTGGGTCAGGACACCTTGCGTCACGGGAAAACCTTGTTTGCCATCCCCACTGATTCGGATGACATAACCCAGAGCATCAGCAGCAATGCCTATGGTTATGTACTTCTCACAGAAAGTATGAAGTTTCTGTTTCTTGTCAGTGTTAATGGGTTTCTGACAGCCGGTGGTGGGAAGGGGAGGGTCAGCTCTATTGCAACGTGTCCGACCACCTAGGAGGCTCCACCTAAAAAGAGGACTTCTGCTGCTTTTCACTGTTTCTCTCTTTTTTCTTTGTTTCCTTTCCCTCCTTCCCCCTCACATGCACACAACTGTGTATGTATGTATGTAATGTATGTATGTATGTATGTATGTATGTATGTATATATGTATGTGTGTGTATGTGTGTGTGTATGTGTGTGTGTATGTGTGTATGTGTGTATGTGTGTATGTGTGTGTGTGTATGTGTGTGTATGTGTGTATGTGTGTGTGTATGTGTGTGTGTGTGTGTGTATGTGTGTGTATGTGTGTGTGTATGTGTGTGTGTGTATGTGTGTGTGTGTATGTGTGTGTGTATGTGTGTATGTGTGTATGTATACACACTGGCTCAGCTTTACTGAACACTCAGACATGTCGTTTGCCTCAGGTGTGCTTTCCATGTGCAGCAAGGCCGGGTTCCGCATGCCCAGCACTGCACCGCAGGTGCCCTCCTTTATCATTTGAGTGTGCAAGACGCAAGGCATTCTTTAGCCTTCAGCCAGTAGGACTGAGGAGCCCTGTGGACCATCATCTGACTTTGCTTGTACTCAGCCGCCTTTGTCCTGATAGCAAGGAAGTGCTTCCAGTCCTTACCTCTCCTGACTTGACTCATGTCCAATAGTGTGTTCATGAATGGTGGTTAGCTTTGGGCTTTATCGTTATCTTTCATTTGGAGGCTCTTTTTAAATGGAAATATTATGTTTCTGTAGGCATGATAATCTGGATGTGGACATACTTGGTAATTTCATACCTTCCAAAAATACCTCATACAAAAGTAAGCCTGCGCACATGGTCCTGGGCGACAGCCTCCCTTTGGTTCCTGCGTGGGAGAAGGTGGAACAGCTTCATTCATCGGAGCCTGGCGTAGATGTGAAGAGGACAGTGGAGAGAACCAGGCAGAAGTCTGGCCTGATTGTCCGAGGCATGATGGCTGGGCCCGTCGCCAGCTCCCCACAGGTGGGACTGCCCCTTTCTGTCTTCTGTGGACTGGGCAGTGAGAGGTGGGCGTCAGGCACTGCTGGCTGAGAACGGGGTACATGTGGGGACAGGAAGCATGCCCGCCTGTCTTCTCCTTGGATCTACTTTTAGTGACCCTCTGGATCCTCAGCAGGTTTTTTCCCTCCTTGTCCTCAGCTTACCTGCCTGAGTTAGTGAAGTTGATTTCCTCTCCCCTTACTTGGAGTAAAGACACACATTCTTGGCTCTGTCTTTGCAGTTCTAAGGAAGGGGACCTTTCCTAGTCTAGAGAATATTATTGTTTACCACAGTGGTTAAAGGAGAGTGAACACCCTGGTCTTTAAAGCTATCATTTATTCTCTTTCTTTCTTTTTATTTTTCTTTCAGGAAAATTGTAAAAATTTCACTCACTGTTTGGTGGTTTTCTTTAAGGAGGGATCATGATTTGGTCTCCTTCGGTATGAGGTACAGCAGATGAGAGGACAGTGTGAAAGGAGTTTGCAGAACAATCCACGGGGACATATCAGAAACACGAGTGGCCTGGGCAGACGCACCCCTATTGTGGAATACCACCTCCCCTTCATTTAGCTGTGTTTCTGTGTCTGCACGAGCGTGTTGATGCTGGCACTAATCTTTTCACTCTTGATGTGTTAGGACAAAGAGGGAGGAGCCTATTTCTGCCTCGCCACCCCTTGGTGCCGTGTCCCACCCAAAGCATCTTGTTGTCAAAGAAGGAAATTCATAAACTGGACCCTGTCCAGAGGAAAGTGCCTAGCAAGGTCAGAGAAGTTGGGAGGAAACGTATTCTCTCAGATGTAGAAGAAGGAATAGCCAAGTCCCAGGGTAGCAACTATGTGACTTCAGACTTTGGTGCCACCCCCATAATGCCTTGCTGTGGCCGACATCACTCGTCAACAGCAGTGCTTGTTCCTTCTGTCAGAACCCTTTGGATACCTTGATTAGTTACCACCAGGAGAGTGGTGTGGGGCACATCAGAGAAACTCTATTAGCTATCTCAGGTTTAGTTTGAGGCCCCTGAGGGCTGTCACATTTGTGTGTGGCTTGTGGTGTTTGCTCACAGGCCTTTGAAGGGTGGAATGGTATAGAGTCAGTCCTCTGAGGGCCATGGGAAGCACTGCTGTATTCTGGTTGGAAGTTGGTGTGAGGATTGTACTGTAGTGCAACCTCAGTGGGGACCAGGTTGTTCCTCTCCCTGCTGGGCACGTGGCGGAAGGGAGCCTGTCTCGCTGAGTTCCGGCTTCAGCAGTGGCTCTCAGTCTTCAGTGTCAGGGTCTCTTTGTGCTTTTAACGTTGGGGATCTCCATATCTCTTGTTTCTTCGGTCTCTTATCTATTGATATTGTATTGGAAATTAAAACTTGGGTCTGGAGAGATAGATCAGTGGTAAATGTGATTGCTGCTCCTCTAGAGGATCTGAGTTCCCAGCAGCCAACTTAGATTGCTCATAACTGCCTGTAACTTCAGCTCCATGGCATCTGACTCCCTCTTCTGGCCTCTAAAGGCAGGCCTGGACTTGTGTGCACAACCCATATTCACACACACACACACACACACACACATCATTAAAAAAATTTAAAAGTTTAAACTAAGAAATTAAAACAATTTATTTCATAATCATTAAAACAATACTGGTAAACCATTCATATTTCAACAACATATTTTGTTATAGAATTATGCTTTCCAAAACAAATCATTGGTGAGATTAGTAACTGCTTTGTACGTGGTTTTACAAATCCCTTTAATGTTTAATAGAAAACAATATATATATTGCTTCTGAATGCAGTCTGTTGTAGTACACCATTTTTATTAAAGTGTGTGGACAGAAACAGAGTCATGAAAGGAAAAAGAGTTTAAGGACCTTCTAAGTGAGTGTCACCATGTCTGGTATCTGTGGCACTGGGACTCAAACCCAGGGATTCATCATTCTGGGCAAGTATGCTATCACACAAAGCTAGACTCTCACCCCTTAATGTGGAATTTTAAACTACATACGTGTGCTGTCTGTACTTTATCAGTTCCCATAGGTCTGCCATACATGCTGAATCTTTTATTCCTGTATGACTAAGTAGTGAGATGCATCAAGTCCTTTGGAATACTTACTGAATCGTATAGATTTTCTAAATGGACACACATACACACCACACACACACACACATACACACACACACATACACACCACACACACACATACACACACACACACACATACACACACACAGAGAGAGAGAGAGAGAGAGAGAGAGAGAGAGAGACAGAGAGAGACAGAGAGA